TGCTCAAGACACAACATGTAATTAGGATTTAAACGTTTTAGTTAAAACCCTATCTTTCCTAATATAGAAATATAAACAATCATCCAGTATGCCGTTCAACTGTTTTAGTTGACAGGGCATGAAACCATGTAGGATTTAACTGTTTTAATTAATCCATTCCATATATATGAATGGGTAGGAATTAGCTTTGTGACCTAATCCATCCCTCCGTATGACATCGCCCCATACCGGTGCATACATGCAAAAGATCCGTAAATGATGCAACATTATAAGCAGTACATCAAATAAAGTCCACAGTATTCATATAGTTGGTAAACACAGAATTTAAACAAGTCATCAACTACAAATCCAGAATCCATCCATGTAATCAAATAAGACAAAGTTTACTAATTCGTCAAGTTAAATTCCAGCATCCATCCAGGTAATTGATAGAAAATATATATTTAATTCTTCAATTAATTCCAGGCCAATATCCAATTAGATTGACAGAACCTAAGTACTAGTTTAGCAATTTAAGTCCAAACCCTAATCTAAATAATTGCAATGAAATGCTTAATGTTACCGCAATTAAGATTTTAAGCTTAAATCCATGCATTCCAGAAAAGTATTTAGTATTTTAACAATTAACATCCAAGATATGCCTAGATCAAACTTGTTAATTAAATGATCCTAGCATGCCACACCAATAAGATTTATAAATATATCAATATTCCGTTAAATTGCTATTAAACCCCCTTCATCCGTTAGCAGCTTACACCGTTGTATACTTCTTTACTATTAAATCCATGAGCACAAGGACACTAATTATGCATATTAGGCTCTAAAATAACCCATTATAATGTTTGGAGTCTACACTACAATCCGTTAAAATTTTAAAAGAAGATTTAGCAAATTAGTCCTTCCTATCCGTTTGCAGCGTGCAAAGTTGCTTATTTTTACACTGTTTATTCTAATTGCTCTATAAACCAAATTTCCTAACTAGAGAGTTTAAAACCCCTTGAAATTACTCTTAAAATTTTTATTTTAGTCCTTGCGACAATTTAAAGTTCCAAACAATGCCCAAACCATCAGATGTCACGCATAAAAGGGGAGCCTGCTCTTAAACTAGTTGAGCATGCTCCAAAAAATGATGGAGCGGGCTCTAATATTTATTGGAGCCGGCTCTAGAAGGGTGGAGCCTGTTCCACTTTCCTTAGAGGCGGCTCCACTCTTGGGGGGAGCCGGCTCCCTCTTCCATAGAGCCGGCTCTCTCCCTCTCTGAGAACCGTCTGCGTTTCTGCCGCTTCTACGGCCTTCTGCATCGTCTCCGGCCGTTTCCACCTCCTTGTTCTTTATTAAAACTGAACCTAAGGGTCTAAATTTCATCTTACATCATTCCAGTTATTTAGTTAAAACAGTTTGCATTAAAAAGAACCATATAAACTATTACCGATTCAAACATGCTTACAAATCAACCACTGACCCAAACTTTCAAGAACGATTTCAGTTTAATTTTAACACCTATAGCTACTTAATTTAACCTATATAAAGCATGTAAGATCCGTTTAATATCCGATTAAAATCCTAGAGATATCTAGGATGCACAGAACACAGGCCAACGGGAGAGAGAAAGGAGAGAACTTGCCTCTGTAGTTTTGGTTTGAAACCTTTAACCGTCCTTTGTCCAAACTTTCCGGCAACCTCTTGACTGTCGTCCACTCCTTTGTTGCCCTAGGTTCAACCCACGAGCAACACCTCTTCTTCCTCTCCTTGGTTTAACCTTGGTTCTTGGCCGAAACCCTAATGCTCATTCTCTCTGTTTTCTCTCAAAAACTCACTGTACGTGAAACAGAGTTCTACCACCCTCATACAGACTTATAATAGTATATATATAGGAAATACTAAAACCTAGGTCCAATTGTAATTAGAGACAGAAACCCTAATTAACCCCAGTCGGCAAAACCGTAATTCCTAAAAGAATATAACCCCAAGTTCACATTATAATTAATAACTTCTAATTTAATCCAATTAATTCATTTTAAAAAAACTAACAAATCAATAAACAATTTAAAACAATTAAAACAAGTAATTCAATTAAAAGAAATAAAAATACTCTTAAATAACATCATTAAACAAACCACACAATTTAAATACAATAATTAAAACAAAAATTTAATTTAAACAAATTAGTTAAACACACCTTTAATCCAATTATATCATTTTGAAACTAGGGGTATTACAAAAACCCTTATTCAATCCTATCATATCGACAACTCTCAGAAGGGGGTAAAGCGCTTTAATATTTTACAGAAACTCAGAGGATTATATGGATATTCTAAAGGCATATGTGCGTTAATCATCAATCAGGTACGAGTCTAAATTACTTTTTAATTAAGTATTCTTGTTTCTACATGGATTAATTTGATTAAAACCCAACATTGTTCTCCAATGCTAAAAGTTATTTTCACATGCCAAATCTATATTTTGATAAGTGCTACAGTGTCAAAATGCTACATTTTACCAATTATGCTCCAATAGTGCATTTCATGCAAAATGCTATATTTTATCAAAACACTTATCACTGATTATTATTATTATTATTATTTTTTCTGGTGGGAAGAGATTGAGAAAGAGTCTATCACTCTGCGAAGAAGTTAAAATTAGTAACATGGAAACCATAGATTTATTATGCAAAGATTCTTCCAGCTCTATACTTTAATAGTGGTGTCTCATTGTAAACTAAACCAAAATTTTCTATGTTTCATCGGCAAACACGATTCATGTTTATCCTTTTTAGTGAATTAATAAGACATTAGTCACAACGTGATTAGTAATTTACCTTTTAGTGATGCAAAAGTAAGGGAACAGAATATTTTAAATCAATTTATTGATTATGTATTCCCAATTTGTTTCCTAGATCTTAAGAGCCAAATATCAATTAAAATTAAAATCTGCACCAATAATTCCGGGAATGAATTTTCCATTCACATGAGAAAATGAATTTCCAAATAGATGAATATCAGAACTAACAATTGAGTGAAATAATTGGGGAATATGTAAACAAGTGAATATGTAAAAAAAAGATGAGAAAAATGAATATCCAAATAGTTCCATTTATTTGATGGGAAAAAAAGATGCATGAAGTTTCAGAAATTGTCAACAGGTAGCAGAACTTCATATTAATACACATAATGGAAATTAATCCAAAATTAACTTCATATTAGGAGGCTGGAGCTTAAATTACCAATTACCTAATAAACATACTTGTAAAACAGATCATTAAGAATCAAGACCCAATTGGGAAATCGCAGAAAGAATAACTAAAGGAAGCCAATCAACAAATCAATACTAAAATTGAATTGAAGACTGCAAAAATACATATACACACATATGGAAATCAAATCAACACAAAACATATGCACAAAGAGAGAAATTTGGATCCCAAATACAAAGCCCATGCCGGATTTTAGAATGAAATTGAAATTTTTAAATCAAAAAGCATACCTGTTGCTTCCTTCTAGAGTTTTAAAATGACGGAGAAATGGCTATGGTGTAGGCGAGTTGTCTATGGTTTGAGGAGAGAGTGTGTGGTGTAGGAGAAAGAGAGAGGGAGAAAGGAGGGCAAGGTTGAGGTCGAGATTTCATATCTGTTGTCTCCGTTCTCTTCTTTCTCTCTGTTATCCTAGAGACATAGGAGGAACGAAATAGAAGTAGATCAGAAATAGCAATTGTCATTTCTTGTGCTACAATTGGCACTAAAATTGGTAAAGTTAAAATTTGGCAGGTGAAATGGCTGCCCATTGGAGAGCCCATTTGAAGCCCATCTGCTATATTTTAAAAATAACAGCCCAAATAGCATTGGGTTGAAGATGTACTTATTTCCTTTTTTTTCATAATAATATAAAACAAAACACCATAGGCCTATATATATATATATCTTATATATGCTAATTAACTTGATTTTAGCGAGAAATTATTGTATGAACCAAGTCCACCATCTCATTTGGCTGAGTTGGTGGACTATAACAATTAATTTTAGACATATGGAATAAAAAATTATTTTTATATTCAATTTGCCACATCATCGCAACTAGGTGAAGAAATTGACGGAGAGAAACAAACAGACGTTTTCTCTCTCTTATTTGGGAATTCGATTCCCAAACCCTCATCTCCGTTTATTTGATCGATGAATTAGGACTGCGACAAAGACGACGATGAGGATCTTATTATGCATGTGTGTATGTTTGATGAAACCCTAGAAATTAGGATTCATTACCCTCTAAAGAAAAGCCTAAATCATCATAGGAGAGGCATTTTGAGAGAAACATCGGTAGCCGGCGAGCAAGAGGGAAGGTCGGCGGTGAGAGGAACCGTGGATGACTTGCGATGGAGAGCGTGAAACAGTTAGGACGGCGACGAAGACAATAATGAAGATCTTATTATGTATGTGTGTATGTATGATGAAACCCTAGAAATTAGGATTCATGACCCTCCAAAGAAAAGCCTAAATCATCAAAGGAGAGGCATTTTGAGAGAAACAACCGGCAGTCGGCAAGCAAGAGGGAAGGTCGGCAGTGAAAGGAACTGTGGATGACTCACGGTGGAGAGTGCGGAACAGCCGACATCATTGTTCCGACTTCTTTACAGCCGACATCACGGCCAAGTCAGCCGACTTCTCTACAGCCGTACCGAGCCCATTACCGTCCCGTCGGCCGCCATCAATCCTAAGCCGCAAGCTCACGGCCGAACCTATCCATCGCGCAGCTCATTGCCGCTGCCGCCACTTCACCGTCGGGCATCATAAGCACTATTAAACACCGGTTTTGGGCAAAGAAGAGAGAGAAAACGTCTCTTTGTTTCTCTTCGTCAATTTCTTCACCCAGTTGCGCTGACGTGGCAAATTGAATATAAAAATAATTTTTTATCCCATCCGTCTAAAATTAATTGGTGTACTCCACCAACTTAGGAAAATTTGATGGTGGACTTGGTTCATACAATAATTTCTCGGTTTTAGCATGTACTCAAGAAGAGTACAAGACGCGTATCCCTTCTATATCATTAGCACTCAGATCCCTCTTGATAGTTTCATAAGACAAATATGCATACATAATGGCATTCAGATCTTCATTGTGTCCAAGCCCAAGAACATGCCCTATCTCATGAACTGCAATTGATTCCAAGTCTATTTGGTCCGTGTTCGGATTACTACTCCAATCCTCATCAGCATCATAGTGGAACCATCCTCTTGTTGGTGGAAACGCATGAGCAGATGTCTGACCCCGACCATCAAATGCATTCTGATCACCATCGCCATGATTACCGCGATCGAAGCCGATAACAATGTCCCTGTCTGCGCCCTGCGGAGCTTCCGCAAACGTGAATCGGCTCACATCTTGCCATTTTTGAAAAGCCCGCGAGCATACCGACCTCAGTTCTTGCAATCCCACAACCTGTGCACTGGATTGGAAGCTATAAATGAGACAGGTTTTTGTTGCAGGCTACCTCGGCTTTCCCGGGAAAAATGAGTACTGAGCAACCATGTTGAAAAGTCAGGGGTGTTTCATATTTGTTGCATTGTTGACAACATCAGCCACGCCACATCTAGGGAGAATCATTTGCTGGACGGTTTCGGAGTCTAGGCTCCCGGTGACCTTCAAGCAAGGTTGTTAAAATCGGGATTCTACGCAGAATCGTTTTGGTCTCCGTAGAATCGAAATCGTAGAATCGGATAGTGAATCGTAAGATTCTACCAAATTGTGAAAAAACAATTGAAACTAACTTTTTAAACAACAAGATCTATAAAATATAACAAAAATAAGTCCAAAACAGATCATCAAATATATTTAACCTCAACATAGCGTATCAAGAATAAAATTTGACATTTAAGAGATATTTTTTACATTAAATTAACTCCTATATTATATTAGTAATTATATTTAGATTTATAATATTTTGAAAAATAAATTAATTATATATATATAATTTTTTATTTATTTTTTATTGTATCTTATATATACTTGTTACGGAATATCTATTTAATATTACCATCCAAAAAAAAATATTTATTTAATATTTAATACTTTCTAGACGTTTCTGGGTCAAAGTCTGTGAAGGAAGGGCAGATCACGGTGGTCTCTTTCGCACGTGACATTTGAATAATCCTCCGTCAGTATCTATCTTTGCTTTTAAAGTCTTTGAAGGAAGAGGAACAATAAAGAAGAGGGGAGCAGCGACGAAGAAGATAAGATCAGCGACACGAGCGGCGACCAGAGGGGAGCGATCAACGACCAGCGAGCAACGACCGATGAAGCAACGACCGACGAGCAGCGACTGACGAAGACCAGCGACTGACGATCAGCGATGAAGGTACCATGTTTTGCCTATTTATGTGATTTTAATCTGATTTCTGGGAATATCCAGTGAATTCCCCTATTTTCTTCACCTGTAGTACAGTCAGAGTGATGAAACCTTTAGGATTCATGATTGAATAACAATCTTTGCTGGTGTGTATTATGAAATTGGGGTTAGTCTTTGACAAATTGGGGTTACTCTTTGACGGTGTATTATGAAATTTGTAGAATCGATAGAATCCTGTATAATCGTACGATTCTACGATTATATCCCCGATTATACTGATTCTACACCCAATTCTACCCATTGAATGATTTTATTATGATTTGAATCGATTTTGGATTTTGAATCGTAGAATCGTGCAATTTTACGACTCAGAATCGCGATTTTGATAACCATGCCTTCAAGTGATAATATGATTGGTATGATCTCACTGCATACTCTAGAATGTCGTCGAACACGTCGTCGTTTGCATGGTTGAGATTGCTAATTGTAGCAGTACTCTTTGAATGATGATGGTTATTAGTAGTGCCATAATTCAAGTAGCCGAATTTCTCGAGATAGCGTTTGAGCTCATGAAGGCCTTTCACTGTCTGCCCCTTGTGGCATCCCTCCAAGTGCTGGAGGAACTTGAAGCCTTTTTCGGGTGGTTTCGGGTGGTTTTTAGACTGAACGGCGACGAAGAGGAGAAGGAAAGCTCCTAATAGAAGAGAGAGATTAGGGGCCATTGTAAGTGTGTTGCAAGAACAGAAGAAGGCTTTGTTTTTGTTTTGAGTATGTAATGGAGTCCCCAAGAGTAATAATTTATAGAGGGTGAGTAAGTGCGTGTTCCAATTTAATTTTGAATAAAAATTGGGTCTCAATAAATTTAAAGTCCTTAAGACGGGTCATTTGGGTGTAGACTTTGGGTGTCTTAAATATTGCAAAGAAATTGAAGCTAGGGAACTAGAGTTCACATTTAGTCTCATGCAAACAAAGCACGATTTTATTAAAATTCAACAAATTAAAAGAAGGAAGACTGGGGTCAATTTGTATTATTGTGAAAGAAACGTGTGCAATACTTTCACCAAAATAAATAAATAAATAAATAAAAATGAAAGGACAAGTACCCAAGCTAACAATGAGGACCGCCAAATTTGAAATTAATGATAGAAGGAAAAAATTGTATTTGTGTGTGTGTGTGTGTGTATATATATATATATATATTTGAAATTGAAAGGAAGATACTAAGGTCAGCTTGATGCTCAGAACTCCCAGTTGGTTTCATAACTTTTTGAATGGAATGCCGAACCATACTAGGCGTGGGTCATTGGCGTGTTTTGCATTAGAGAAGTTTTTGATTGTGTTGAGAGGAAGACCAAGTTGATATCATTAGTATTATTATTACATACCTGACCAAACTCGCTAGGGTCATTGGCGTGTCCCACGGAGGGACAAGATAAACCAAAGTCCAATCGGTACAATGTAACTCCTACTCCTAGTTTGCCTAAGAAGACTACCAACAGTTTGTGGCCAATTATAGAAATTCAATTTTGCAAAAAAAAATAAAAAATGTGTAATTTGATTCCACTTTGAGAAAGATATGTATAAATATTACCTGATGAAAGATAAATAATATTACTTCTGTCTCAATTTAAGTTTTAAGAGGACATGTGGAACATGCCTTGTCTCCATGGAAAATTACTAATTTGTCTTTATAAGTTTTGAATATTTAAGTTTGAAATTTTAAATTGTAAGAACATATATAAAAAGATGTAAAATATATTGGTTGAAAAAGGAAAGTGATAATTATTTTGAAACGGACCAAAAAAGAAAGCATGACATTTTTTTGGGATAGAGAGAGTACAATAAATTAAAGTACCATTTTAACTATACAAAATCCTGTAAACTTTAGTAAAACATGATTATTAAGAACAAAATAAAGAGGTATAAAGCCTTTCAAAAAAAAATAAAAAAATAAAAAGTTATAATAGAAACGTATACAATGAGTAGCTATAGAAATTTTCATTTAAAAAGTGACAACTAAAAATATTAGGATATATGATATCATTGTTGCTATTTGTATTTTTGTCATCTTGGTATCATAACACTTTAGGGCCCATTTGGCATGTGATATGTTTTAGACGTTATATTTTTTTGTCAATACCAAAACAACCATTTTTTTGTTATATTAGTGTTTTGGATAAAAATCGGAATCGTGTTTGGTAACGAAAATTTGTTTTAGAAAATTCAGAAATTTGCTTTAGTTCCTCTGCTATAGTACCAAAACACACAATATCACCAATTTGATGATATAGGTTTGAACCAAAATATATGATATGTTATGAACTATTCCAAACTAATATCAGCCGTCTCAAACATGATATGACCCCAAATTTAAAAACCAAGATCGGAAAAATAATATCATAAAACATTACAAACATGTCCTAGTTTTTGCCACTTTTCGATACTGCAAAGACATGCTAATTGAGATTAATATATGATTTAAAATATTTTTTCATATAAGCACCATCTACCAAAAATTTCTAAGTACGAATATTCATAAATCTTTATTAAATGAGGGGACGTTAGTTTAATTTTTCTTTTTGCTCTAGTCGATCATATATTTATGTGATTGGCAATATATATATATATATATATGTATGTAGATTATTATAAATGTAAACGCAGTAATAATATGTTGTAGTGATTTACCATAATAATGTAGGCTTCAAAAGCAAGACAAAAGAGTTTAAGTTTAAATTTATATGAATTTTAAAAAAATATAAGTTATATTTATTTTATTTTATTTTCTCAAAAAGTCAAGCAATTATACAGATGCGAATAATGTACAAAGGCAAGGCCCAAGAGAAGAAGAAAAGTAAAACAATACAAGACCTCATAAGAGGCCCAACCCCCAACAATCCAATCTGACCAACCCCATCAAGCCCAAGAAGCCCAATAACTTTGAAATCAAACAACTGAAAGTTGTTTATCAGGCGAAGCAAGCCATAGCAGGCAACAAGCAGCTTCAAAGTTATATTTATTTTCAAGCTCACTAAGTGCTAGGGTAATAAATGAGTTTTTAGAAAAAGATGTGGGATTTGTTTTTTTGAATAAATAAGTTTTTAGAAAAAGATGTGGGATTTGTTTTTTTGAAAGAGTTGGACATATTTGTAAAACAACTATATATATATATATATATATATATTTGGTAAAGTGCAAAAAACCCTTAACGAAGAGTACTTGTGCACCAAAGTATTTTTGTGTGCATATCATTTTGATGACATATACAAAAAATGATACGTGCGTGCATAAGAGTAATACATTTGTGCACAAAAATAGTATTTACATACCTAAAATAGTAAGGTACTTTGTGCACAAATGAATAATATTTTTTCCTTATCCACATCAGCATTTGGTAAAATTCATTTTTTCAAAACATCAATATGTGTCATTCTATTATTGTGCCATATCCAATGTGAAAAAGAGATTTTTTCTCGTGGGTGAGAAGGGTAATATTATTATTTTTTTCATAATTTGTACTCACACACACGACTCCACTAACTATTGAACCCTTAACCTCCTTTTTGGAGGGAAGGGGCTGATACTGTTAGGCCACTAATCCATTGATAGGAGGATAATATTGTTTAAAAAAAAAAAAATTACACGTTCATTGAAAAGATGGCGAATCACACAACTAAAAAAATACAACTGCATGTATCAAGAATGTATGCTTAGCATGAATCCCGTGTATTAGTCGAGGCAAAGCCTGAACACCCGACTATCAAAAAAAGAAAAGATAAAAAAACCCCATATGAAAGGCCAATTTCTGTAATACATTATTAGTTTTCTCAAACTGTTTTTTATTCAAGTAGTTTTCAAGCCTCCTGAAAAGGCTAGGATATCTAACTAAAGCCAGCCTACATATATTCTAAAATAAAACATTTCATCACAACAAATTGCAACATTAGTGCACTTGTTCAAAAGTTAGAACTGTGAGAATGCCAAGTGTGACTGAAAGAGCAGTTGGTAATTTTGAATAAAAACCTTCTTTCAAAGAGAAAAATAATATATATAGGCTTATATATGGTGTTTTCTTTTATGTTATTGTCATAATGTTGCTACTATGAGAGAAAGAAAATAAGTGAATACTGATGTTGAACCTGTATTCAACAAGAGTTGTACTCGCGGCTTGTTAACTTATGTAATAAAAAATTTCAATTTTAGTTATTCAACAAGAGTTGTACTCGCGACTTGTTAACTTATGTAATAAAAAATTTCAATTTCAGTGCTGAAATTGAAATTTTTTACACATTGAAATTGAAATTTTTTACACTGAAATTGAAATTTTTTATTACATAAGTTAACAATAACTTCCACTGAAATTCTTTAACTAAAAAAAAACTTCCACTGAAATTGAAATTTTTTATTACATAAGTTAACAATATATATATATATATATATATATATATATATATATATATCTCATGCATGCAGATAACTTCCACTGAAATTGAAATTTTTTTTTACAAAAGTTAACAAGCCGCAAGTACAACTCTTGTTGAGTACAGGTTCAACATCAGTATTCACTTATTTTCTTTTTCTCATAGTAGCAACATTATGACAATAACATAAAAGAAAACACCATATATAGGCTTATTTTATATATATATATAGTAGTACTAATTAACGCAAGGTTCTACCATGTACTTAAGAAGAGTACAAGGCGCGTATTCCTTGGATGTCATCAGTATTTAGATCTCTCCTGATAGGGTTATGAGAATACGAGGCGAACATAATGGCATTCCTATCTCTACTGTGTCCAAGCCCGAGAACATGCCCTATCTCATGAACTGCAACCGATTCCAAGTCTATTTGGTTCATGCTCGTCGGATTAGTACTCCAATTCTCATCAGCATCGTAGTGGAACCATCCTTTTGTTGGTGCAAAAGCATGAGCCAATGTACCACCTGAACCATCAAATGGAGCCCCGTCGTTATGATTACCACGATGGAAACCAATAACAATGTCTCCGGTTGCACCCTGGGGAGCTTCCACAAAAGTGAATGGGCTCACATTTTGCCATTTTTGGAAAGCTCGCGAGCACACAGACCTCAGTGTTTGCAATCCGACAACTTGTGCACTGGATTGGAAGCTATAAGTGAGACGGGTTTTTGATAGAGGCCACCTCGGCCTTCCTGGGAAGAATGTGTACTGAGCAACCATGTCGAAAACTTTGGGGTGTTTCATTTTTCTGCTTGGAAATGAGTTTGTGGCATTCACAATATTATCAGGAACACCACATCTTGGGAGCATCATTTCTTGAATGGTTTCGGAGTCTAAGCTTCCGGTGACCTTCAAGTGATAATTTGATTGGTATGCTCTCACTGCAGCCTCTAAGAGGTTGTCGAACTCGTCATCATTTGCATGGTTGAGATTGCTCATTGTAGTAGTAGTCTTTGAATGATGATGAGTACTAGTAGTACCATAGTTCAAGTAGCCGAATTTCTCGAGATAGCGTTTGAGCTCATGAAGGCCTTTCACTGTCTGCCCCTTGTGACATCCCTCCAAATGCTGGAGGAAGTTGAAGCCTTTTTCGGGTGGTTTCGTGTGGTTTTTAGACTGAACGGTGACAAGGAGAAGAAGGAAAGCTCCTAAAAGAAGAGAGAGATTAGGGGCCATTGTAAGTGTGTTGCAAGAACTGAAGAAGGCTTTGTTTTTGTTTTGAGTATGTAATGGAGTCCCCAAGAGTACTAATTTATAGAGGGTAAGTGCGTATTCCAATTTAATTTTGAATAAAAATTGGGTCTCAAAAAATTTGAAGTCCTTAAGACGGGTCATTTGGGTGTAGACTTTGGGTGTCTTAAATATTGCATACAATTTGAAGGGAACTAGAGTTCACATGTAGTCTCATGCAAACAAAGCACTATTTTATTAAAATTCAACAAATTAAAAGAAGGAAGACTGGGGGTCAATTTGTATTATTGTGAAAGAAACGTGTGGAAAACTTTCACCGGCAAAAATAAAATAAAAATAATGTAAGGACAATGAGGACCGCCAAACTAGAAATTAATGATCGAAGGAAAAAATTGTAGGACAACCCAAGTTAGCAACGAGGATTGAGGACTGGCAAACTAAAATATGAGTGTTTGTTTGTTTAGATTATTATTATTATTATTATTATTTCAGAAGGTCAAGTATGATAAAATGGTGTGCTTGTTTGTATAATTTTATCTGTATAGTTTTTCATATTTAAAAAGAAAAAAAAAAAATCCTCATGAAATTTGTTGTTATCATAAAATGGTATGGTGTAAATGGTTTGATAGAGTGAACACTAATGACGAAAGGAAGTCGTGGGGTACATCGAGAACTAAAAAATAAAAGTTTATGCGCATGGTGCGGTATTAAAAATTTTCTTCTTACTCTTGGACATAACCCAGATATTGGGTGAAACACATAAATCCTGAGTTTTGTTTTATCAGTGGCTGTGTTCCCAACTCCAACGTAACAAATTTAGTAAATTTTGATGGCCATCACCAGTGTGGTTAGATTTATATAGCGATGAAATGACAGAAAATTAAAAATTTCAAGATTAATTATTTTTTGGTGGTAGTCTGTTAGAGTAGGATAATCCCCATCTCAATTATATGGAAGTATAATAGAGTAATGCAAATGAGCAATTGATAAAAGAGTGAATGTCACTTAATTTTATTCAGATATTTAATTATATAGTAGTTTCAAATTTGTGATTGGCCGAGACCATCACATAGTTCCGAATTATTTAATAATTTATCTCACTTGGTGTTGAAAAGACACTGTAATTACTTATCATTGTATTTTTTGTGCAAGGTTCTTAAAAAAATTATTTTGTGTAAAACAATGTGAAAATTTCGATAATCTCATCCTCGGAACATATAGTATCTCCACCCAGATATTCTCAACATTTTCCATAAAAATAATATATAGAAGCTAATAGTGTGTGTGTGTATATATATATATATATATATATATATATATTTATGTATGTATATTTGAAAATTGAACGGAATATACTAAGGTCAGCTTGATGATCAGAAGTCCTAGGTGGTTTCATATTATTTTGAATGGAATGCCGAACCATTCAAGGCGGGGGTCATTGGCGTGTTTTGCATTATAGAAATTTCTGATTGTGTTGAGAGGGAGACCAAGTTGATATTATTAGTATTACACACCTGACCAAACACGCTAGGGTCATTGGCTTGTCCCACGGTAGGACAAGATAAACCAAAGTCCAAACGGTACAATGTAACTCCTACTCTAAGTTTGCCTAAGAAGACGACCAACAGTCAGTGGCCAACTATAGAAATTCAATTTTGAAAAAAAAAAAAAAAAAAAATTGTGTAATTTGATTCTATTTTGAGAAAGATATATATAAGTATTACCTTGATAAAAGATAAATAACAAAAGTACTATTTTAACTAAACAAAATTTTGTAAACTTTAGTAAAACATGATTATTAAGAACAAAATAAAGTGGTATAATAGTAACTTATACAATGAGTAGCTATAGAATTTTTTATTTAATAAGTGACAATTAAAAACTATTAGGATAGATGATATCATTGTTTCTATTGGTATTTTTGTCATCTTGGTATCAAAACACTTTAGGGCCCTTTTGGCATGTATATGTTTTAGGCGTTATATTTTTGGTCAATACCAAAACAATCAATTTGTTATATATAGAAGCATTTTGGGTAGAAATTGGAACCATATTTGATACCGAAAATTTGTTTTGGAAAATTCAGAATTTGCTTTCGTTCCTCTGTTATAGTACCAAAATACACAATATCACCAATTTGGAGATATGGGTTTGGGCAAAAAAATCTGATATGTTTTGAACTATTCCAAACCAATATTAGCTGTCCCAAACATGATATGAGCCCAAAATTAAAGAACAATATCAGAAATATGATATCAAAACATATTTCAAACAGGCCCTAATTTTTCATGCTTTTCGATACTGCAAAGACATCGATGCGCAGGTGAAGATTAGTGTATGATTTAAAATATTTTTTCATATAAACACCATCTACCAAAAATTTCTAAGTAAGAATATTCATGTATCTTTATTAAATGAGGGGACATTGGTTTAATTTTTCTTTTTTCTCTAGTCGATAATATATGTATGTGATTGGCAATATATATACCCACCTACTCCTTAACAATTGCATGTGAATGAGCCCTCTTGCATTAACCATTATTGTAAATGGGTTTCAAATCTCAATCAAATGATCCCTAATTAATATGTGATAAACAACATAGCATGGCCATAACATATATTTATTCAAAAACTTAATTAAGCCAATGGAGCCATTAAATAGATTTTAATTAAAATCTCTAGGTTTTTAAACTCATCCAAATGCTCTCAAATTAACATAGGTTAAAGAACATACCAAGGCCTATTCTAATATCACATTACAAGTTAATTTCATGCTCAAACTGAATAGAGACATGACAACAATCAACAAACTTAAAATCATGCTTAAATAATCAAACTGCATCCTCTATGAATCTCCAAGAAGCCCCATGAAAATATAAACTTGGCCTAAATCCCAAACTCAAAATTTGGCCAGAAATGGTTTCTAATAAGGGGTAATCGTAGATCACGACGAGGCGAGCAACAAATGCAAAGGCCGAAGGATTTTCACTTAGGAAAAATAGGTTAAAGGTGGAAAGAGAAGATGGCAGCTCCATGGGCATCCATTGCTGCCTTTGGTCGTGCAGAATAAAGACAACAGAGAAGAAAAATAAGTCAATTCAGCTGAATTAGAGCATAAAAGATGCAATCTCAAGCTTAGTGGAAGAAATGAGCAAAGTGGAAGCAAAGTGGTGGAAAACAGCATTCTTCATCGATCGATTCTGATTTTTAACGATTTCATAAGTTGTTTGTGCACATGGCCTTCTCATCCGTGATTGTGTCATGGCGTTGTCCCCGACAAAACCTAGGAGTATCGTCGGATTTGGAGTGTTTTCGTTTCGGTGGGGATTTATGAGAGAGAGATAGAGAGAGAGAGATTATAAATGGAAACGCAGTAATGATATGGTGTAGTGAGATTTACTATAATAATGTACGTAGACTTCAAAAGCAAGACAAAAGAGTTTAAGTTTAAATTTAGGGATTTTTACTAATACATGGGCTTTAGGCCCAAATACTACAATAAGATGAGGTTAACTTCTTAATTTATCAAGAAAATGGGGGGACCACATCACTTTTTTCTTACAAATGAAAAGGCTACACAATTATTTCTCTAAAATGGACTGTTTTCTACTTTAGACCACAAAACAATTTATATTGTTACTTTGACCTAACAAAATATGTTATTATATCATAAAAGCTTTAAAACATAAAATAAGCTTACCAAAAGATCCATAAACAAACTTTTAATAACATAGAATAAATTTAACAATTAAATCATAGAAATGACTGCCGAGCCTGATAACGCAAAATAACAATTATCGAGTTTTAGAGTAATCAAGTCTAGAACCTTCAAGTATTTCCAGTGTGTTTTCTTCTTTCAGTTTCCATTGTACAATAGTCTATGAGAGTGTATGTGATGTTTCCAATTTTCTGCATTTTTCATTTTTTCGGAAATTCGTTGGTGCAATGGTATTTTTGTCTTTTCGCGTTTTATGGTTGGGTCTATTTGCATTTGTGCATTCTAATTTATATGATTCATATAGTACTTGTGTGGTGGTGCATTATATGTAAAAGTTGTGTAAAATTAAAAGAAAAAGAAAAAAGGAAAAGTCAAAAAAAATGGTGGCGGGACCCACCACTATCATTTTGTGGTCTAGAGACCACTTGGTTTCTCATCACTCTCTCAATCTCCTGTAACTCTCTCTTCTCCCCTTCTCTTCTTCATTTTTCTTTTCCTTTTAAGTTCCAAATTTCAAATCAAGATTGCTCTCTCAATATTTGGAGTTTTTTGAAGCCGTTTGCGGCAAAACGAAGCCTTCGACAAGACCTTCGTATCCATACCAACAATTTCAATTTTGGCACTCCCTTGTGCATTCGAATTTGGAGACCCATTTTAAGGATTTTGCTCAATTTTAAGGTAGGGGCCCTTAATCCATGCAATCTTGTACTTTTGTGAGTTATCTTCTCATAAATGGTTGTTTAGCATGCTTAATTTGTATAGTATCTAGTCAATTGCTTAGTTGTTGTGTATATTGGTCAATTGTGTAATTATGTGTGTTGAATGATCTATGTGAAGAGTATGCTTAAGTGTTGATTTTCAAATGCCTATCATGCTAGATTTTTATTGTATGACCACATGTTGTAAATTCTTTGGAAATTCTTATGAACCATGCTTTGTTAATTAAATTTGAGTCGGTTGTAGAATGATGGACATAGATATGGCATTGATGCATTCATGCATCAACATTGGGCACGAAAAAGGGAAACATTGTTTTGATATAAAAAAGGGGGATTTTGGGAAAGAAGTTTGATTAAAATGTTTTATGAAAATCTGATCACTGCGGGGGTACCAAAGGGCCGGAGGGTTAATATAGCCTAGAGGGAACTAGGGAGATTGCCCTAGCATGGTTGAGCTAGCTGGGCCCAAAATGACGTCGCGGGGGTACCAAGGGTCAGGGACACTAGCCAATCCTTCTCTTGTGTCGCTGCAGGGTCACCAAAGTGCGGGTTATATTAACTGTTTGAAAGTGATGGTTTTGAATGATTAAAA